CTTAAAAATTAACTAAGGAGACGTTTGATTCGTGAATTAGAATCATGTAATTAGAACTATTCTTAATTTACGTGTATTTTTTGTGAGAGAAAATATTATAGCGAACTATGAACCATGATTCAAATCATGGTTTGAATTCTCCAACCGAACATCCCCTAAAACATTAAATTTTAATTAAGTGTATAAAAATATATTAAATACACAAAACAATCTCAGCAATAGATTTAGGAGACATTTGGTTCATGGATTCAGAATTATGATAAGAACTATTCTCATTTTACGTGTATTTTTTATGAGAGAGAATACTATAACGAATCACGAACCATAATTCGAATCATGGCACGAATCCCCTTCCAAACGTCCCTTAAATTTCTTTTGATCTTAACCTTTCATTTAAATCCTTAACCACACAAAACAACTCTCATAAAACAAACACCTGGCCGCCGGTCATCTTGCCAGCCACAGTGCCACCACCGTTCGTCGGCAGCCTTGCTTTGTCCATCCCGCAAGCCGCTTCCTAGACGACGACCATCCCCACTCACCCATCTGTTCAGCCAGTGCCATCCCAATCCCCACTCGCACTCAAAAATTCACCCTCGCGGACTGAAGCCAGAACTTTTCAGATAAGAAAACGGGGAAAAAAGTCGTCGAAAACCACAATCAGTACATGAGTACGGAAAAACAAAGAACAGAGGAACCATAGGATGGGAGAGATACGGAAAAACAAAGAACAGAGGAACCATAGGATGGGAGAGAGAGAGAAAGTTCTAGAACAGTAGAAAGCGTTTGTCAATTTTGGTGTTTGGAAGGCTGCTGATTGGGGAATACTTAGAAGCTTTTTTTTTTTTTTAGCTCTTTAGATTATGTATTTTTAATAATTGTTTTTAATTGTCAATTCATTTTTTTAAGTTTAATTATGTTTTAATATTTTAAATTACGTGCTAGGTTAGCTACGCTGTTAAAATGTTAAAATGATAGACGGAAGCAGATAGATGAGACATTTTGAATGATTTTTTATATATCAAGTGATGTTTTGAATCATATTATTAAGAAAATTAAGAGATAATTTGAAACGTGATATATATTTTAAGAGACATTATAAAAATAATGCATAATATTAAGAAAATCAAATAGATGGTAGGAAAATTGGGTTGGGTGGCCGATATTCCACCCAACACAATATATTTGGCCATAATTTTTTCATTTCAGATAAATAACATGCTCTTTTATTTTATTTTTGCGAGCATATTCTTCTTCTTCTTTTTTTTTTTTTTTTTTCTCTTACCGTTTTCTTTGAGGTCTCTCCCCTTCCCCTGATCTGTTTCTTTCTCTTTCGCTCTCTAGACCTTTTTCTTTTCCTTCCTAATTTGTTTCTTTCTTCTTTATATCTCGTGCTAGAGCTTGGGCCAACAAAAATCGTGAGCAAATCTCTGCGAAGGAGACAGGGCCAATGTTGGAGCTGGGGTGGCGTCGGCAAGCGACTACTAGCGCTGTTGTCGAGATCGACGATGAATCGGCGAGTGTGCAATGAGAAAAGAATGAGAGAGAAGAGAGTGAAAACAAAATGACATTGGTTAGGAGTTTTTTTTTTTGTTTTTAGTTTTTTCGTAATCTATTTCTGATTGACATAACCTATCACTAATGAGGATTATTTTGTTTTTCAAATCTTTAAATTCGTACTATTGATTAATTTTAGAAAGGATCAACCATCTACTTAAGAGATAATTACACTACAAAAATTAAATACCTTGAGTTGAAATTTAATAAAAATTGAAAAATACTACAAAAATGACATAATAATTAGTATCATGATATTCTTATAATATTTTAAAAATTATACTTTATTTACATTTTACTATTTAAATTTTAGTTTTTGTGTGAAGAGCTCCAAATAATTTTAAAATGAAAAAAAGATCTCTAAATAAAGGCTAATTTAGCTAAAGTTCTCCATATTTCAAAATTATATACACATATAGGAAGAAATTGTATAATTATTAACACCATTTGTTTCAATTGTTTAACTTAGTTTAATTCAAGCCGAACAGTTTAAGTTCTTTTTAATAAGCACGCAGTCTGAAAATTAAATTAAAATCCTTGTTTAATTTGTTAGTTTGAATCTTGTTGATTTAATTTTTTTTTATTTAAATAGAAAAATTCGAACTGTGTGGTCTGTAGTTCGAATTAGCATTTAAAAGTCTAGTTAAAATTTTAATTTGAATAGGAAATAAAATTCAAATTTATATTTAATATGTGTTAAAAGCAAAGAGAGTGAACTCCTTTTTACTGTTTAAAAATAGTTTAAACGATTGAATTTAAGAATAGTTAAACTTTAAATTAGACTGTTTAACTAAACTCAAACATAAATGTACTTACTAAATAGGAGTTCAAACTGTACTCACTATTTAAATTGAGTTAAGCTAAACTAATGAAATAAATGAGACAAATATGATTCCTATACCTACTCTCTCTCCCTCTGAAAAACCCGAATCTATATATATTATGTTATATGCTATATAGGATATAGAATATGGAAACTACAAATTCAAGCAAATGAAAAATTTTTTATATTTTTTTTCCTCTTTCTTTCTGACACCAAAACTAAAAATTGCACTTGAAACTCAAAAACATACTCAATGACTATCCACGTTTCTTACTTCAAAGTATTCGATCAACCCATTCTTTTTTAAAATAAAACACATAAGATAATCATTTTCGCATTGAACTTTTCTGGTAATAACAATGTGATTGGTGAATTACAAATCTGAACCAGTTCAGTTAAATAATATAAAGTAAAATAATTTATTCGCTCATAGCTATTACAATCTATTTCCACTATTCACGCTTCTGAAGGAGAAAAATGGAGGATAACACTTGCTGTTTCTGCAACGATCTTAATCAAAATTCACATCCGAACTCATAAATGAAGATTAAAAAAGGGGAAAAAAGTAATTTTCTTAACATATCGAATACATAACCAAACCCCATCCCCATGAATTAAAAAAGAAAGAGAAGCCAAAATTAGAGACTTACACTATGAATAGATTTTCATCTGAGTGATATTTTTACAGGAAAAGGAATGACGAGCATATGTCTTAGATGACCAAAAATCCTGCGTTTACTTCATTTATATGTGAGAAGCTGTTCCTTTTCCCCGGTAAACAAACACAGGCCGACTTTCTCAAGAGCTAGGCAAACACAAATATAATTAATGCCTTAAGAGAAAGGAACTTACCATTAATTTCCAAACTCCAACAGAATATGAACAACCACAAAACCAATCTTACAGAAACAGTACTTTTCATACAGCAGTTTAAAATTCTTTCTGCTCAACAATAGAACAAAAAAAAAAAAAAACCATAATACCAACTCAAAATTTAAGCGGGGGGAGCAAAAGAGAATTTTAAACCACAAAAAAAAAAAAAAAAAAAACGAAATAGGAAAAGTCTGGATTCTATTATTGAATATATGACAGATTATTTCTCAAGCTTCAACATTCTATCCCAAGTAATTTACACAACGAACTCCATCCCCTCCACCACATAGCAAAACCCCCCCCCCCCCCCCACAAAAAAAAAAAAAAAAAAAAAAAAAGAAAGAAAAATCATAAACGATTGTTCGGTTTTGATTCTTATTTAATCACTTTTATTGATTAAATCAGAATTTAATGTCTAATTAATTTCTAATGAAATGCCACACAGCAGTAAAATTATTATTTTATTATATTTTTCACAAATTATGGACATTTTGACGTGTTTTGATAGATTAGAGGCCTTTTTGAAATATGATACATACTTTAAGAGTATTTATATAAATTTTTCATTAAATTACCCCTCTAATAATTGACACATCATCAAATTTGTTAGTCAAATAAACATAAGAGGTAAAGTGACTAAAGTTCAAGGGATGTCCAAACCAATTTTTAAAATTCAGAGGTAAAGTGACAAAAAGATTTAAGGTTTAGGAGGCAAAAATAAAATTTATGCTAGTAATTATGCTCAATATTGTCTAACAACAACTATTATTAATGCAACATGTGTAAAAATCGATAGATTTCTTAATGGAGGGGCAATTTTATTAACGTTTCACTATTTAGGAGGAACATATGTTATGTTTTAAAGATCAAGGATGTAAAGTTTTACAAGTAGTATAATTTAGGGAAAATTTTTGTATTAATCCTTAATTTAGACGGGTTATTAGGGTTAAAACAATTAACATGATCAATAAATGAGTTGTGTTTGAATTGACATTTTTAGCATGTTCAATAAACATGTCGTGCTTGGACTGATGTTTTTTGACACAATTAATAAACATGTGAGAAAATTGCTGAACTCACTCTTAAAGTGTATGAGTCTGAATTTTTACCCATCATTCTTGATTAATACTCTTTTCACTAATATAATTATTTAACTAAAAATGATATTAATTAATAGTAAGGGATACAAATCCAGACCAAACACTCTAAGGGGTGTTTGTCTCTATTTACCTTAATAGGTTGACATAAATACAACCAATTAATACGAATTGCCGCCCCTACCTCACTAGTGTTGTTAAAGCCTCATTCATTTCACTAATTTGAGTTTTTAATTCTAATTTTGTTACAGTTAAAAGCTCTCACAAAAAGTCACATATAACTTTTTATACTACAGTTAAAAACTCTCATAAAATCACATCCTAACTCAAATTAAAAAATTGAAGTCACATATAACTTTTTATGTTACAGTTGAAAACTCTCATAATATTACATCTCAATTCAAATTAAAAAATTAAATCAGCCAATTAAACGAGGTCTAAAAATCGCTCGTCCAGTTTAGAGCTTTTTTGGGTAATGAATAACCTCGAGTAATACGGGAAGTGCTTTAAAAAAAGGAAATATGTAAACAAATAGATAAACGCTGCTATAAGCGGCGCTTGAAACTTGAAAACATGAAAAGAAATTCGAATTTTATCGATTGCCCCATGGGCATGATTTTCTTACCCAAAATTCCATGGATATGGCGGTTCAAGTTGGCCAAAACCTTTGAAGCTATTGAAAGAGCTAGTCTAAGTACGTTGGGTCAAACAATACGGACAATGAATTATGAATACAAGAAGCTGAACTGAGAGTTATTCACATTTTATTGACAAAACAAATCATCCCAAATACAACATGCACACAATATACGTAAGAACAATGCACATGAGGAACAATAGCTTTTCAATATTTCCAATTGACGTGGATTTTCCGCGGACAGTATGAACACGTAGAAGCAACCTTTACACTTGCACCGATAACTCGAAGGATGAACCAGAAACCTCCCTCGTTACTAGTGCTACCAGTTTTCCTTGACAATTTTGGATTTCTCGAGTATGAACTTCCCTTCCTTGTACTTCTGAGTTTCTTCGTAGGCTCTTTCATACTTCCAACCGAGCACTACACAGCAGTCGCAGCAGTAGACATCAGCAACTGTGTGGAGACCAGTCATGAGCTGCCTGTCCTCTTTTGGCCCCACCGTGATGTTCATTGCGTGAGAGAAGAGAAATGCTCGACCGTTCCTTCCCTGCAGATCATTGAATCAAGCAGCTCTTAATGCTTTCAGCATTAGTCGCAGCCAAAACAAGATCATCCCACAAAGACATGATCAATTAACACTCCCAACTCTAGCTCGGTTTCAATCGCAACACAAGATAAAGGAAAGATCAACTAACACTCCCAACTCTAGCTCAGTTTCAACCGCAACACAAGATATTGGAAAGGTCATAAATAGTGCCTAACATCCAAACTAAACATAATAACAACTACTGTGCTTAATGCTCTAGATAGACGATTTAATTGGTTCTTCATCTAACATGTTCCAGAAAAAGAGAACCTCACAACAGAAGTTCAAGGTTTCTTCATTTTTCAAAGAACATATTGATATCCAGTATTTGGAACTTCTAGCCCAATAAAGAGTTCCTCATTATCAAAACATTCAGACTGTAAAGCACTATAAGCTTTACAGGATGTAAAGGAAGTTATCGTATTTACCTGAAAAGCTTTAGAAATGACATCATCGTGAAGGGCAACATGGTTTCTGCAATTGCAACAACTGTACAACCTCGGCCCAACCAAGTCCGCCATCAGTGTTAAAACACTATAACAAACACAGACCAGAGCTTAGAACCACCCAAAATCAAGACCCCTTTTGCAGTTACATACAACGCACAATTTCAATATAACCAAACAGAATAAGAAAAGAACATAAACCCATAATTCAAGACTACGAAACTAAAGATGGGTCGGCACCCATACTTCACACATCAATCAAATTTTTACAACTTCACCGTTCAAAAATCGCAAGTATGTTATTTAAATGCATGACTAATTATATTCCCTTTAAAATTCACAAATCTATTGTAACTTATACAAGTACTATGTTTGACGTTCACAAGTTCCGAAGCAAAATACACATGTTAAGTCATCTCATTCCCGGCACAATGCCGGGAATTCTCCTACAGACACAATAAGAGTTCCCCAGAACCCAGAAGGAATTTCTCACCTTTTTCCAGCATCAAAAGACTGCAATAAGATATTGACAATCAGCTAATTTTGGGCCCAATAATCTGCAGAGAAGGATCAGACCACTTAGCAAGATTTTGGTTAGAACAATAATGTCAATAAATAAAAGCATATAAACTACACGAAAGGAGACGTATATGGCTATCTGAGAAGAACAGGATCGCTGTCAAAATGAGCAAACATAACCAACCCAATTTAACAACCAGACGAGATCATATAATTCAGGAACAATAAACAAGGAAAAACCCAGAAGATGAAAATGGTTTTCGAAGTGAAAATTTTATCATCTGGGTATCCAATTTATACTACACGTATAATTAAATAAACCCATATTCAGTTTCGCAGAAAAAATTGAAAAACGAAACTCTTCTTCATGATCACGAGATAGATCAGTGAATCAAAGAAATGACAAATATATGCTGAATCATATTTACATATAAACGAGAATTTAAGATCAATCTGTACCTCGCCAATCTGCCATGGAGACTTCGAGCAGATGGCTCAAGAGCAGAGGAAAGAGAGAAGGGGAGAGAGAGTTTAGGGTTCTAAGTCCTCTCAACCGGTTGATTTGTGTCGGAATTTTGTGGGTTTTGGATGGAACAAGACGACAAAGTTGCCTCAAGGTTCTTTGAGGAAAAAAATGACACTGCATTGCCTTTAAATTACAAAGTTTATCCATTCTGTTCTTGTCTTTGGTAATCTAAGTTTAAACGGTGCAAAGCTGACAAAATAGCGGAAATTAGTAATCCAGTAATTTCATCTTTTAAGATCTACGTGGTGTCACGACCCAAAAAGGAGGGGCGTGATAATTGAAATTTAATTGCAAATTTAAATTTAATTAATCTAGAATAATTAACAAAAACTAATAAAAATAAATATATCAAAATAAGTAGTAAAATATATTGCTTCAGAGTCTTTTTTTTAAAATAATTACAAAACAATTTAAAAATACATACAACTTATTAAAATGATATAACTCTGAGACTGAGACTGTGCTGACTAACACTGTTTACACGCACTAAATAAAGTACAACTTAGAATTAAAACCATGAAATCATGGTAAAACAAACCATCTCGAATTTCGAGCTTTCAATCTGCTGCCGTAAACATATTGTGCTGTAAATCAAGTTGCTAACTCTGGAGGGAAAAAAACATTTAAAGCAGGAGTGAACCAAATGCCTAGTAAAGGGGAAAACAAGGATAGCGACAATAAAACAAGGAAAGTAAAATAATTATGGAGACTCAAAACACAATAAATTATAAAATGCATAACTCAATGCAAAAAATGGTAATATGTGAAAAATAACCAATCACAACTGATGTAGTTAAATGCAGAGTCAAGCAGTTAATCAAGTATTTGAAAACTCTTTCCAAATACTACATTATTTTTAAATCCGTTTTAAAAGTTATGGAATCCAATATCTAAATAGTCTACAAAATACTAGGTATTTTGTAATTCTATTAGACACTTAGATGTTTAAATCAACAGGCAAATAAGAAAAGAATTAATCATACGCCGGTAGTTTAAATACTCATTTTAAGGTACCGAGACGTAGTTTAGTGCAAAACCTCACATACTCATTTTAAGGTACCGAGACGTAGTTTAGTGCAAAACCTCACCACTCACGCTGTGGAGTAGCCCGTATGGGTTAGTGTGATTCAAAAAAAATTTTATTTTGCCTATTTTTCTTGTTTAGCCCCCTTTATGTTAAATTTTAAAAAAAAATTATTTATATCTTTAAGTTTGTATCCCCCTAAAATTTTCCATTTTTAAGTTTTATGTTAAATTTTTTTAAAAATTTATTTATATCTTTAACTTTTATACAAAATTTATATTATTCTGCCCCTTTAAAGATTTTTAATTCTATATTGTCCAGAACATTTAAAAAATTTTCATTTACACTTAATTTTTACTTATAATAGTTTTTTGTTACAAATTAATTTAATTTAAAATTTTGTAGTTTAATTCAAGCCCCCTGAAAATTTTTTCTGATTTCGTCACTTCACATGCCTTAGTCCGATTATCTATAAGCCTCTCAAAAACAGTTCTCAAGAAATCAAAATCTTGTTTTTTTGACTTCAAAGCTTTTAAAAAGTTTCTACATGAAAATTTCAATGCGTCCAAGTTGACTACAAAACTCCAAATGGGGCGATTCTAACTCCCACACAACACTAATAACATCTTCTAAGTGTTGATAAGGACAGTTTATATGCAGCAACCATATATGAAAAAGTAGGGGTGTCGGTTCTTGTTTTACCGATTCTTAAAAAATGCAGCCTTTACGAGAAAATTCATAAAATATTCTACATAGACTCTAAAATTACAAAATTAGTTCATAATCGAAGAAAACATCTAGGGCTTTCCAAAGAGCTATCATAAGCTTGATTTTGGATCCATTAAGGTCTCCAAAACACATTACACCGGATCATAAATTGCTGATTTTTCTGCAGAATTTCAGCAACAATGTCCAACTTCAAAATTTTGTATCTTAAGCTACGGTTATCCGTTTGCGGCTATATGAAGCTTAGGATATCTATTATAAGGTTTTAATAAATATAACATCAAAGACTCATTTAGAAAATACATATTTATGCTTCTCCAAGGGCTGCTGCTAGGATTCTCACCAACACCATTAATCGAACACCTAAAGTGCATAATTCTTTCCTCCAACCCTCCATATATTCAATCCAAAACCTAACTTCAAAGTATTATCATCACGTAGGTACATTTCATTGAGATTCTTAATTTCCACTATAGATACAAGAGAGTTATCAAAGCATACGATTAACAACAACAACGAAACCCAAAACTCTATTTTCTTCAAAACCCATACATGTTATAAACCTATGACTTCCATCATCACAACACTTTAGCAATAAGACAAGTAGAGCCGAACACCATCAATATGAGTAAGTATAGTTTTAGCCACAAACATAGTCTAACATTTCAACAACCTCTACAAGGGACAATTTCCTCAAGCTCTCAAAATTAAACACCAAGCTTTCATGACCTAAACTCCTTTTTATTTAATATAAAATCTTAAAAATAAAAAAAATCAACATAGGCAATTCAATTCACATATCAAAGGAACAACATGCTTGGAAATTTGAATTACTACCATGCAAGAAGAAACCTTTGAGAGAAAATCCAAGTTTTACAAACTCCAACTCTAATAATTTTTCTTTTACAAACTCCAAGTTTTCTTGAGGGTGTTGTCAAAATATCAAAACATATTCAACCTTAATTTAAAGAAAAATCATCCAGAAAAAGGAATTTTCTGATTTAAAGAGAAGGAAGAGAATCCCTACCTCTAGCTTTCTTGAATTCCACATGAAATCCTTCCAATCCAAGAGCTAACAAGAAGAAAACACTAACTAAGATTTTGGAACTCAGAGTTGAAGGCATGCAACTAATTTAAAGAGATTGAAGCATAGAACCCTACCTCAACCTACTTGAAATCTCATGAAATCCATCTCAAATCTTAAAATCAACTTCAAGTTTGATTTACCCATAAAAATAGAGTAAAAGACCTCTGTTTGGAACCTCGGACAGTACCTCCCATGGAGGAAGAGAGAGAGAACCGAGAGAGAAAGAGTGGGGGAGAGAGAGAACGTGAAAGAGGGAGTGGGAGAGAGAGATAAGGTGAAAAAGGAAAGGGAAAATAAGAAGGAGATTAAAGGAAGGGGAAATAAAAGAAAAAAAGAAATAAAGTGGTTTTATGCAAATTTTCGTTCACTTTGCGGATTTGAGTTTTCAATTCAAATTAAAATGTGATATTTTTTGAGAATTTTTCACTGTAGTAAAAAAAATTAGATGTGACATTTTTTGAGAGCTTTTTACTATAGAAACTTAAAATTAAAAATTCGAATCAGTGAAATGAACGAGACCGTAATAATTAGAATTTAAAGCCTAATTTAAATAAGAATATAAAATAGCATAATAATTTTTTGTTCTGAAAAATTAGTTATCGACAAACATCAATTTAAAAATAATTATTTTAAATGTGAAAAATTCTTATTGAAATAATCATAAGTGCAAATTAATCACATATTTTTAATTAATTAATACTAACAGCCGACTTAAATGAATTAATTTTAATTAATTTAATCAGATGTTACAAACTAAAAAGGAAGAGTTTCTAAATACAAAAATTTCAGGGAAAGTGTTTTGACTTCAATAAAGTGGGACATAAGTCGGTGAATTGTAAGCTTCCAAAAAGAACAAGACTAAAAAGGCAAACACAATGGACACCATCGCAAAGGAGGTCTTTGACATTAGTCTTTTGACTGTGGTCTCGGAGGTCAACTTGGTGGATTTCAATCCGAAGGGGTGGGGGCTTGACACTGGGGCCACATGCCACGTCTGTTTTGACAAAGCTACATTCTCTAACCTTGTACGTTTAGAAACTGGGGAGAAGCTCTATATGGGCAATTCACAACTTATGAGATCAAGAATCAAGAAACAATGTATTTGAAGATGACATCGGAAAAAGAGGTGAAGCTGCACAATGTGTGTTGTATGTGCCTAATATTCGTAAAAGCCTCATTTCTAGGACGCTGTTGAGCCTACATTGCTTCAAAATGGTTTTCGAGTTTGAGAAAATTATTTTATCTAAACAGGGAATGTATGTGGAGAAAGGATATGTGAAAGGTGACATGTGAAAAATGAATGTAATGGCTGTTAAGCAAAAACCATCAAAATGAATAAAGCCAGTACTTCTTCTGCTTACTTGCTCGAGTCCTTCAAATTGTGATATAGTAGACTAGGACATGTTAATGATGATATTATGCCTAGATTAACTAACCTGGATCACATACCTGTGTTTCATATTGATTCCAAACATAAGTGTGAAACTTGTGTAGAGAAAAAACTAACAAGGTCATCATTCCAAACAATTGAAAGAAATGTCACGCCCCGGGGCAGGGGTCTGTGACGTGGAGGCTCGATTAGGAGTTAAACATTTAATAATTAAAACCAACTGTGAAATATTAAAGAAATCCCCAAACGAGCCCCACTATTTTACCAGAAATTAAATTATACATTCCAAGGGAGAGACTAAAACTCAAGCCTCTATGTTCAGGGCAATACCCATAGGATCTATCCACAGGATCTTCAGTATTGTACATACATGACACGTGTAAATAACATTACAGACACCAACCACAGTTTAGAAATCCAAATATTCAGGGTTTACAGAAGTTACAATTCTTACATTCGTACACAGGCAGGATGATCACAATCCTCACTAAATCCGGGTGGTAGCAACTCAGCTACTCCGCGCTGCTCCTAGAGTCGCATGCTAGTCTGAGGAAACTTCGAATCTCTGCCACATTTTTTGACCTTTCCCACTGTAGCATAGTCTCGATCTTGGAAGGGTCCACATAAATTCCTTATCCTGATATCACATGCCCAAGAAACTTCACTTCCGTCAACCAGAAGTCACACTTCTCCTTTTTCACATACAGCTGGTGTTCACAAAGAGTCTGAAGAACAATTCTCAAATGTTGTTCATGTTCTTCCCAAGTCTTCGAATAAACTAAGATGTCATCGATGAAAACAATCACGAACTAATCTAAGTCCATACCGAGTTCTAAAAGTAGTTTTCGGCATGTCTTCCTCCTTTATTTTAAGTTGATGGTACCCATACCTCAAGTCAATCTTAGAGTAATACTGTGATCCACCCAACTGATCGAATAACTCATCGATCCTCGGCAATGGGTATTTATTCTTCACAGTTACCCTATTCAATTGACGATAGTCAATGCATAATCAGAGTGATCCATCGTGCTTCTTCACAAACAACACCAGTGCACCTTAAGGGGAAGTACTGTTCCTTATGTACCCCTTTTCCACTAGCTCTCCGAGTTGTTTCCTTAATTCTCTTATTTCTGCAGGTGCCATTCAGTAAGGAGGAATAGAGATAAGAGCCGTTTTCGGACTCAAGTCAATATCGAATTCAATCTCCCGATCTGGCGGTAACCCGGGTAGCTCTTTAGGAAACACATATGCGAATTCATCCACCATAGAAATTCCCGCATTAACTCCAATTACCTCGAGTTCACCTTCTAGAGCAAGAAGGAAAGAAAAATAAGCTAGATTCCTACATCCTCTAACGCTGTATTTCAATAGTCGTTCTTCCAGGACTGGATTCATGTATGCTTGATAGGTAATTACCGCTCCAGACTTAGTCGTCAAAGCCACTCTCCTACGGTATCAATCAATAATCGCACCGTATCTTGCTAACCAATCCATTCTGAGTACCACGTCAAATAGACTCATCAGAAGGATTATCAGGTCAGCTCTTAATCGCTCACCTCCAATCATGATTTCACACGGTCTACACACGTTAAATACCTCCACACATCCTAGTGGGGAGTTCAACATCATCGGGGTTTCCAAGCTCTCAGATTTCAGTTTTAAAGTTTGAACAAAAGAGTTTGATATGAAAGAATGGGTAGCACCAGTATCAAACAATACATGTGCTAGAGAGTGAGAGATTAGAATCATACCCTCAACCACCGTGTTGCTGGCATGTCCTCCAGAACTGCCTCCTGTCAGGGTATAAGCTTGACCCTGTGCTTTCCCCTTCCCTTTATCCCTGGCCTATATTGTTGTGGTAGAGGTATTTGCACTGGCCTCGACGCTTGAAGTCGAAATTATGGATATTGAGGCGAACGGTAGGTTGGAACATGAGGGTTTGGCACCGGCAGTTGTGGCTGATAAGGCGGCACAAACTGTGGTGGTCTTGCTTGACCGTAAGAAGCCTCACTCTGAGATTGCTGAGTCGGCGGCTGGTTCCGATCAGGATAGTTCCTCCTGATGTGACCCATCTGCCCACAATGATGGCACTTGGGTCTATAGGGACCACTCCTGTCACTCCCAGAGGAACTACTACCACCACTGATCATCTATCCACCAATCTGTCCCTGATTGCGATTTCTTCTACCACTCCGCTGTGGCCCGCTTGAAGCAGAAGGTCCACCAGAAGCAGAAACTCGACCAGCTGCTTTCTTACTCTGCTGATAGGCTAAGTTATCATGTTCCACGCTTGTAGCAACAGCCACCAGGTCTCGGAAATTTTGAATTCTTAAAGCCACCAATGGTCTCCTTACAGAATTCTTAAGACCTTTCTCAAATTTCAGGCATTTCAAATTCTCAGACTCCACCAGAGATGGCGCAAAGCGGGACAGGTCATTGAATTTTGTCTCATACTCCCTCACCGACATATCACCTTGAAGCAAGGACATAAAATCCATTACCTTTTCATCCATATAGCTTTGAGGGAAGTATTGTTCATTGAAGAGAACCTCAAACTGTTCCCAAGTCATTCCCGCAACATCAAGCCTTCTTCTCACTTGCTTCCACCAAGTACTTGCTCGACCTTCCATCTTATACACCGTGAATTCCTCCCAATACTCTTCTGGTATTCCTATGGTGTTCAGGTGCTTCACGATGGAATCAAACCAATACTCCGCTTCTTGGGGTCCTCCTTCACTATTGAATGCGGGGATAGGTGCGCGTCTAAACTCACGAAAGTAACTATGCTTCCTATCCTCGACTAGTCGCTCATTCTGAGCTCGAGTGGCCATGCCTTGGAAAGTAGCATACATGGCATCCATGAACTCTTAGTTCTGTGGTGCCGGTTGGTTAATATATCTACGATGCGACAACATCTTCTTTAACTGAAAAGAAACTAGACTGTTTAGTGGATTCCTGATGTCACACATGTATCTACAATCCTGTGGTTTCTTAACCTAGGGCTTTGATACCACTCTGTCACACTTTGGGGCAGGGGTCTGTGATGTGGAGGCTCGATTAGGAGTTAAATATTTAATAATTAAAACCAACCGTGAAATATTAAAGAAATCCCCAAACGAGCCTCACAATTTTATCAAAAATTAAATTATACATTCCAAGGGAGAGACTAAAACTCAAGCCTCTAACACCATTTAGGGCTACACTCACAGGATCTATCCACAGGATCTTCAGTATTGTACATACATGACACGTGTAAATAACATTACAGACATCAACCACAGTCTAGAAATATAAATATTCAGGGTTTATAGAAGTTACAATTCTTACATTCGTACACAAGGAAGATGATCACAATCCTCACCAAATCCGGGTAGTAGCAACTCAGCTACTCCGCACTACTCCTAGAGTCGCCTAGGAGGGGTTTAACATTTATAAAACAATAAAACGTGAGCGAAAGACCCAGTAGGATATATTTTGAAATAACGTTAAAAATAAATAAATAAATAAATGGTAAGCAAGTAAATAAATAAATAAATGAATAAATAAGACATTCAGTTCCAACACAACAGCCGGAACCTCACATCCTTTTTCTAAAAGGAAATATAACTGAAAATCTCCATATTACAGGCATCAGCAAGTAATTTATACTATGATAAAGCCTAATTACTCCCGGGCCGGGTTTCGGGTTCTGCCCCCTAAGGATGCACTCTCCGCATCTTATCTAGACTATCAGCCGGTTTACCGATTCACAAGATCTCTTGTCTTAAGAAATCATTCATTAAACTTTATAAAATAGTTTATTATACTTCCAATAGCTAAAATCAAGCTATCGTTTTTAAACATGCTTTTCTTTCGCAAACAAGCCCTTTCTTTAAAATATTTGCAAGGCCAAAACTCTTTGAAAACAAGCTCACAAAGAAAGGGATAGGGAATCCTACCTCGTAAATATCAAACCTATGGCTAGCGTTACTCTATTCCAGCTTTCGCTTCCTCAATCCCCTCAATCCGAGTCCTCAACTAGCACTGATACAAAACCACACTTTACGATCCAATTCTCATTCCTAAAGCAATTCAATCTCAATTATATCCTTTGATTTCCTATTAGTGTGCCATAATTCAATTACCAATTTCACAAACCATTTCATGTTTCAAATCATCATTCCAAGGGTTTTCAATCTCAAAACATGGATTAAAGAAGCTAATCCATTCACTCTAGGTCCCCAAATGAAGCTAATTTGGGTCATCCTTGAAACCGAGGTCAAAACATGATTTTTTTGACAAAACAAGATCAAACCCAGTGTACACCGGTCAACCGGTGACAAAGCAATGCAACACCACCGGTCGACCGATGGTGTGCAATTCAGTCGACTGCATAGGTCGACCAGTGGACTTAATGCAATCCAGTCGACCGCACAGGTCAACCTGTGAAGAACAGCAGGGCGAGGAAAACCTACGGAATCAGCCCAAAAACCTGCAAATCTGAGTCCAAATCGAGATACCTTAAAGGGAAACCACTAGATCCGGGTTCTAGGCACTGAATCAAGTCCAAAGAACCCAAGATCTCCAATTCCTACCATGGTTTTACTCAAAATCCATCAAAATCCGGTTTGAACCAAAATAGGTTTTCTAATATACAAAATCTGAGATTCAAGAGAGGATTTTTCAGAAATCTTACCTCAAATCCTTCTCTTGACGTTGAAAACTTCTTTAAATCCTTTCTTGGTTCAAGATCCGGTTGATTTGAGATAAAATGGAAGAGATGGAGTGAGAGTGAGAGAACGAGAGAGTGAAAGTGAGAGAGAGAGAGAGAGTATGCACGGGAAGGAAAGAAAGGAAAGAAAAAGGAAAAGGAAAATGAAAAGACAAGACAAGTGTCCAATATTTAAAATGACAGTCCGGAAATGTGCCCATACACACTTCTGGATAAAAATGTAAATATTAAGAATATTTAAATACCTTAGAATTATTCAACTTTACACATCAGAAATATTTATTAATCAATAATTAATTAATTAAACAAGATTAGGCACACTAATAAATCTCAATTACCTTAATTAATCTCATTTAATTCTTCGGGGTGTTACAAAAAGTTATGAACCCCTTGAATTAATTCACAACGATGTTTGTGATTTAAAGTTTGTTTAAACTAGAAGAGGCAATAAGTATTTTTGTTATTCTCATCGATGATAGCACCAATTACTACTATGTGTATTTGCTAAAAAGTAAAGATGAAACTGTAGAGAAATTTACTCTCTATAAGCAAGAAGTTGAAAATCAACTTTACAAAAGGATTAAGATCATAAGAAGTGACCGTGGTGGTGAATATGTAGAACCATTTGGTAATCTTTATGCACAAAATGGGACTATTCACGAGGTCACACCACTTTATTCTCCTCAGTCAAATGGTGTGGCAAAATGGGGGAAGCTAATTACCTTTTACATATGGTTCCCCGAAAGAAACAACAGAACACGCTATATGAGTTGTGGAAAGGAAGGAAGCTTTCCTACAAATACTTGAAAGTGTAGGGGTGTTTTGCCATGGTAGGGGTACCTTTGTCAAAGAAGATGAAAATAGTTTCTAAAACGGTTGATTGCATTTTCATTGGCTATGGACACCTAGACATTCATAAGAACACAATAATGAAGTCTAGAAATGCATCATTCTTTATTAATGTATCTCCTTGTAAATCCAAAAGGGTTGAACAAAATTCGTCAAAATGAACATTTTAGACCATGGAAGAGAATAGTGAGGAGCAAGAACAAGACAATGAAATTGAAGTGGTGGAAGAAGAGCCTAGACGAAGCAAAAGAGCAAGGACAGAAAAGTCATTTGGACCATATTTTCTAACTTATATGAACCTCAAACTTATAAAGAAGTTGTAACTCTAGTGAGGGTCTTTCATGGAAAGAAGCCATAAGGAGTGAAATTGATATTGTCATGCAGAATCATACTTGGGTATTGGTGTACCTCCCTCTAAGATGTAAACTACTAGGTTCTAAATGAATTTTTAAATGGAAAATGAAAACAGATGGAACAATTGACAAGTATAAAGGTCAGGCTTGATAAAATATTACAAACAGGGGAAGGCCTTGATTACTTTAACACTTGTTCTCCTATGACGAGAATAAATTCTATAAGAATAATATTGGCAATTGCCGCACTACAAAATTTAGAGGTTCACCAGATGGACGTGAGGGCTATTAGGAATAGTGTCCTAAAAGCATGAGATGTAAAAAAGATATTTATTATTTAATTGATAAAATAGTGTTTTATTGTTTTATGTGCATGTATTATTGAATACTTTATGAATATCATTGAAAATTCCGTGATTTTTTATGTGATCTTAAATATTGTATATAAATGTTATATATGAGAGGATAACATTTAAGGATACTAATCGAAATATGCTCGTAATGAATTTAATTAAAGTTTCAGAATCTTTAAATTACTAATAGATGTCATTCCCATTAAGAGTGTATTATGCATAATGAGATTATGAAGAACTGATACTACAACAAAAACCATCATTAATGACGACACCTATTGTCATCGCTAAAAATGTCTGTTGTTGTCTATGAAAAACACGCAATTGATCACACTTTCAGCGACGACAATAATTGTGTGATAATTAGCGACGACAATAGTCGTCGCAAAAAGTGTGGATAATATTTTGGGTGGCAAAAGTTGTAGCGACGACAGTCATCGTCACTAAAAAGTCTCAGCATCGCCAAAATTATTACGGTTTTTCATTTTTTAAGTTGGGTAGAAACGGCGTCGTTTTGTAATTATTAGCGACGACAAATAATTTGTAGCAACAATATATGTCATCGTTAAAATTTTTTTGAACCTGTTTAGTTTGTTAATTTGAATTTTTAATTTGAATTAAGATGTGACTTTATGTGAAAGATTTTTACTATAATAAAAAAATTAAATGGGACTGTTTTTAAAAATTTTTTACTAAAGAAAAATTTAAATTTTAGATTCGAATCTGTGAAATAAATAGGACCTTTATAACCTCCCACCCGATCTTCTTCCCCATTTTCCCAGTGTTCTCTCTCTCTCAAATTTCCGCCGGCTCCGCCTCTGAACGACCTCCGGCCGCCGTCCCGCCCTCTCTTTGACCTCCCGCCAGTCTTCCCGCCCCTCCAGCGACCACCTCCGACATCCCCTCCCCTCCCCTCCAGACGCCCCTCCCTCTTTCTTTCTCTCTCTCCCTCTCACCCTTTGTTTCTCTATCTAATCCGCCAGAATCCGCCCCCACCACCGCCTTTTTGCTGTCCCGCCGTCCCCCATGCCGGCAAACTCCAGAAATCCCACTTTTTCCCTCCGATTGGAAATCACCCCATTTTGTGGTGATTTAAATGTGAGTGATTTTGGGGTTTTCTTTGTTTTTTTTTTGTTTAATTGAGGATATATTAGAAAATGTTATATTAGAAGAGGTGATTTAAATGTGAGTATGTTGGTTTGTGTTAGTAATTGGTTGGAATGTTGGTTTTTGTATGTTTTGTATTTAGATTGATATATGGATTTTGGTATATGTTAATATGTGAGTAGGTTGGTTTTGTTAAATGTGACTCTGTGATTATGTTGGTTTTGTATTTGGATTGATATAGGTTTTGTATTTATGAATTTTGTTTTGTATCTAATTTATGTGAATATGTGATTATGTGAGTTGGCTGTCACAGATGTACACCAACTACTTGGAGCTAGCTGCTGGTTTGAGAGAATTGAACCCACAACGTGTTGTCAACGTGCCTCCCCCCCGCCGGGTGTCATGCCTCCATCAAATGAGGAATAAGATGAAGAAGAAGAGAATAATAATGTAAATCTAGGGGATTAGAATTTTATTATGCATATGTA